GGCTGGTGAGCAAACAGGTGCTGGTACCCACAGATCCACAGAACTCACTGCTTTCTCACCAACTTTGCAGTTTGAGGGTAAGTTTTTCTCCTGGATCTGAGCTCCGCTCTTTTTGCGTTTTGAAGCTCTCCAGGTTTTATTTGGGATCTGTTTGAAGGCTTCGTCCTTTTTTGTTAAGGCCTCGTTTGTCTGTGAGTACTTGGTTGGCACTTTAGCCTCACGCTTGAAATCACGCTGTTCCAACTGGAACTGTGCTAGCTTTCAGTCCGACTACTTTTGGAACCAGGCTGTTCCTATTGAAACTGTGCTGGTATTTGGCCTGTGGGGTGTTTAAGAATGATTCTTCTGCTCTAGAGAAAAACCCCTGAAAAATGGGATCCCAGTTATCTAAATGTTTTGAGGGTGCCCCCCCCCACCTTTTCAGGGACCCTGAGCAATTTTATGTTTAAAAACTGCTGTCTCTCCTTATATACATTTTTAACTAAATGGACCAATTGAAACAGACGTAATTTAGAACATCAGTGACCAGCATGGGGAACTTCTGAACTCCCAAAACTTCCTTTCTTAAAATTGTGTTAGACAGCCACAGATCTGCAGTTGTCAAAACTGAATTGGACACCAATTTTGATTGGTATTTTAAGGCTTCCAAAACGTATCAGGAGTCTAAAATTGCCTCTTTGCAATATACAATTTTTAAAGTAACTGAGGCAAATAAAATATTAAAATAAGACAGAATGGCTTCTGAGGTCTCTTTTTCCCCTACCCCGTCTTCTTTGTCTCTGGATACTGGCAGTCGTCTTGTGCTCAAGCCCATCCCAGGTGCCATCTTCCTTTCCTTCTGCACCTCCCCAGTCTAGTTCTCTCGCTGAACTTCCCTTTTTCCCTACAGCTCCGCTGACTCTCCCTGCTCCCTCCTCTGAGCCTATCAGAACCTCCTCCTTAAAGTTAATCTTCTGAGAATTGAAATAAACCCCAAATTACTTACGTTCCCTGGACTAAGCCAAATTGTGAGCCATAGTTCAAGAGTTTCCTAAAGTAACTGAGGACCCCCTTAGGTTTGCTGAAGATTTTAATACTTGTTCAAACCTACCAGTCTGGTTTCTCAGATTTATATCAGTTAGTCCACGTGCTTGTTGGTGAGAGTCAAGCAAACACTGGATGAAACTAGCCCATGGGAACATTCTGGAGGGGATTTAGAAGGGCAATCCCCTAACTTTTGGCAAGAGGCTAGAACACTCAGTGAAAACCTCCACTGAGCAATTATAGTAGCCTCTCCTAAGCCTGTTGATCAGAACAAAGGTCAGCCTTGCATACAAAAATCTGATGAACCTGTTCATGGCTATTCTAATCGACTTCAGGTTATTTTTAAAGAAGACTCTGGTCTTCCTTCATATGTTGCGTCCACTAGGGTAACTGTCACCTCCATGTTTATTAATGGGCTGAACCAGGATCTTTTTCTTTTATTTAAAAGAACCAGCACTCTAGATTCATTTGGCAGATCAGCTCACTTGCACCCTAGATGAGTCACCAAAAAGAAAAACCACTAAATTCTTTTTTTTGTTTGTTTGTTTGTTTTTTTGCGGTACAAGGGCCTCTCACTGCTGTGGCCTCTCCCATTACGGAGCAGAGGCTCCGGACGCGCAGGCTCAGCGGCCATGGCTCACGGGCCCAGCCGCTCCGTGGCATGTGGGATCTTCCCGGACTGGGGCACGAACCCGTGTCCCCTGCATCGGCAGGCGGACTCTCAACCACTGCGCCACCAGGGAAGCCCAAACCACTAAATTCTTAATCTTCAACTCCAGCAAATGAAGGTCCTTAAACAAAACCAAAAACCTAATTTCTGCTATTGCAAAAAGCCAGGGCATCGGAAAAAAGACTGTTACAAATTTAAGCGTTCTGGGAGTTTTCAGCCCTCTCAGCCTTTCCAGTGTCCTCCTAATGCCCAATGAGGGGGCCCTGAGGAACTACAGGGGCTCTTCCCAACCCTCCCTGTTGATCAGCTCGAAGAAACAACTCTCCAGATTGGGAAGGAGTCTCTGTCCTTACTGACAGCGGAGCCACACTCTCGGTGCCCAGCCCCACTGCAGAGCCCTGATACAGTTCCCATAGTGGCGATCTCTGATAATCCTCAACAGGCTCCTGTCTCTGAACCTTTTCCCTTTTGTTTAGGCCCTTTGAGAGAGACACACTTTCTCGCCTTAGCTCGTCTCCCTCCATTCACTTATTAGGCCAAGACTTCTTGGAAGAGTATTATGCCGAATTTCTTTCTCCCAAAAGGGGGAAATAATTCTAGAATTTGACAGTAGCCATCTAAATAGCCAACCTGGTAAATTAAAAGACCCTTCGACATCTTTTATTTGTTCTGTTTCCGGCACTGCTGCGGCCGATTCTTGAAACACTGATCATTTGTCCCTATTGAATCAGCCACCACCCTCCTTATAGGCAAAAATCTCCAACTGATATTGGCAAAATTCACAGTGTACCCTCCCATTAAGATCCAAATAGATCCCTCTAAACTCTCTTCAGAATTAATCAGTACCCTGTAAGTAAAGAAGCCCTTCAGATAGAAAACCCGTGATAGAAGATTTCAAGGCTCAGGGCCTCATTATCCCTTGCACTAGTCCCTGTAATACACCTGTTATACCTGTGAGAAAACCCAAGGGCTGAGGATGGAGGTTTATCCAGGACCTCTGAGCAATAAGCATTGTTATCTCTCAACACCCAGCTGTTCCTAACCACTGCATTCTACTGACATCCATCCCCCCTTGAAGCAAGTTTTTCACTGTGACTGATCCACGCAGTGTATTTTTCAGCTCATTCTAGTTGATAAGGCTAGCCAATATCTTTTTGCCTTCACCTGGAACGGACAACAGTATACTCGTATAGCAGTGACCCAGGGTTTCACAGAAAGTCCTTCTTACTTCACAAATCTTGAAAGCTGATTTGGATGATGTAAAGTTTTCTGCAGCTTCTACTTTGTTACATTATATGGACGATTTGCGCCTATGCTGTCCTTCTCAAACCTCCTCACAGGAAGACAGCATCCACCAGCTAAAATTTCTGGCCTTAAAGGGACATAAAGTCTCCAAAGAAAAATGGCACTTTGCTCAAACTCAGGTTCAGTATTTAGAGCACGTGATCTCAGAACAGGGACTACTGAATCTAGATAGACTCCATGACATCCTGAACTGCCCAGAATCAAAAACTAAGCTCCTAAGGTTTTCTTGGGCTATCTGGCTACTGTTGAAATCGGAGCCCAATTTTCTCTCTTCTGGCTCAGCCCCTACGTGCTTTATTAAAAACCAGCAAATCTGACCCCATTAATTGGGGAGATCAAGATGACACAGCTTTTGAAGACATAAGGAAAAGCTTAATGAGACTACCTGCCCTTGGGCATCCTAATTACCAGCTTCCCTTTTCCCTCTTTGTATGTGAGAAGGCAGGGAATGTCCTCGGAGCCCAAAAACAGGGGGCTTGTAGGAACTGTTTTGGTATTTGGCCTGTGGGCTGTTTGAGAATGATTCTTTTGCTCTAGAGAAAAACCCCTGAAAAATGGGACCCCAGTTATCTAAATGTTTTGAGGGTATTGTAGCCAACAGGGTACTGTAGGGTACTGTAGGGTATTGTAGCCAACAGCTGGACCCTGTGGCACAGGTATATCCCCCTTGCTTCAAAGCCATTCCTTCTACTGTCCTTCTGGTTAAGGCCACCAAAGAGACAATCATGGGATCCCCTTTAACCATCTTCATACCCCATCTTCGTACTGCATGCTTCCATGCAGTGGAAGCCCTCCTAAATTCTCGTCCACTCAACATTTTTCATTCAGTTGCCTCACCTCTTATGAAATCCTTTTGCTAACTGCTCCTCACATAGCTCTTTCACACTGCACCAACCTCAACCCTGCTACTCTTCTCCTCTCCTTCACTGACGAAACCCCTCACCACTGCCTGACCCTTACTGGTCACCCTTTGACTCCGTGTAATAATTTAGAGGAGACTCCTCTAACCAATGCAGATTTTTCATGGTTTACTGATGGTTCTTATTTAAAGGGAGAAAGTGGTAAAGATTGTGCTGGGTATGCCATTGCAACTCCTTTTGATATTGTTGAAGCAGCGCCTTTACCTACGGCTTAATTATGCAACAGGCTGAATTATATGCCCTCACTGAGGTTTGTAGTTTAGCCAAGGGCAAAACTGCAAACATTTATACTGATAGTCAGTATTCCTTTGGAGCAACCCATGACTTTGGAATAACATGGAAACAAGGTTTCCCTACCTCTAATGGGGAAAAGATTAAAAATGGCTCTTATATGCAAAATCAATTAGGCGCTATACTCTTGACAGCTGCCTTGACTATTATTAAGATCCCTGGGCATTCCGAGCTTGAGTCCCTATAGGCTGAAAGAAACCACCTTGCTGATATTTCTGCCCCAAATGCTGCTCTCGAAGGAACCAATGACCAAACTTCCAGTATGATCCAAAAGGATGCTCCCCAAGATAACCATCTAGAAATGCCCAATGCCCCAGAAAAGGAAAAACAGTATTGGGGATCTAGGAACTGCTGGTTCAGTAGAAAGAGAAAACTCTGGTTTGGGCCAAATAACAAACTGGTCCTCCCAGAAATTCTGATTCCCACACCTCAGCACTGTACATGCATTGAACTCTTGGTCCAGTGACAAAATGATAGCATTCCTGAATGAATGTTGGTGGGGAAATATTAATAAGGCCACAAAAAGTACCTCCCTTCTTGTCCCACCTGTCCAAAATACAATCCAGGGAAACCTGTTTGCACTGTTCCCAGACACTTTGAATTGCGTAATGGGCCATTCAAAGTTTGGTAGGTGTAGAGGGGAAAGCGGGGGAGGGATAAATCAGTAGATTGGGATTGACATATATATACTACTCTGTATAAAATAGATAACTAATAAGGACCTATTGTATAGCACAGGGAACTCCACTCAATACTCTATAATGACCTATATGGGAAAGAATCTAAAAAAGAGTGGATATACACGTATGTATAATTGATTCACTTTGCTGTACACCTGATACTAATGCAACATTGTAAATCAACTATATTCCAATCAAAATAAAAGTTTGGTAGATGGATTTCACATAGCTGTCCCCATCTCATGGATATAAATATATTTTATTACATGGTCTGTATGTTTTCTCATTGGATTGAAGCCCTCCCTTGCAGACAGGCCACTGCTTCTTCTGTGGCTACAATTTTGATAGAAAAGATTATCCCTACCTGGGGAACCCCTCTTGAACTTCACAGTGATCAAGGAACCCATTTTACTGGTCAGGTGCTTTGACAAGTTTGTGCTCTTTAACTGGTTTTACAACATTTTCACTGTGCTTTCTATCCTCAATCCTCAGAGTTAGTGGAACGTTCTAATGGCAATATTAAGACCTAGTGGGCAAAATTCATAGAGACCCCCCCCCAAAAAAGCATTGCCATCGGTCCTTCTAAATCTCAGACCCACCCCTTTCAGAACTCAAACTCTCACCCTTTGAGGTAGTCACAGGACACCCAATGTTCCTTGCCCCACCCACTTTTGACCCACAGCTGATGAAAGGAGATATATTTCAATATTGTAAAGGCCTGATTGCTTCTATTAAAAATAACAATGCTTGGTAGAGCAGTCTTCTTCATAGTGTGCTCTTGGGAGACGAAGACCTTAAGCATCACACCTTTCAACCTGGAGATTTCATGTACTGGAAAAGACACCTCGAGAAGGACTCTCTTCAACCTCACTGGAAAGGCCCCATCAGGTACTGCTAACCTACCCTTGTGCCTCCAAACTTCAGAGAACAGACTCTTGGATTCATGTGACACATCTAAGAAAGCACCAGACCCTAACTGGACCTGCACACCATCTGGTGACCTGAAGGTAAAGATTTCCTGGATTTGAAGCAGATGACATCTGATGAGACAGCTTGCCCAAGATGTCTAGACAAGGCCTGTTAGAAGGTTTAGAATTCACAGAAGTGTCTTTCTTTCATCTAGACTATAAAACTGACTCTGGATTCTTATCCAAATTCAGTTTCTTGAATTTTCAACCTACAGTCTGTATCATTGATAAAACATCTGATTCCAAACAGTTTCCTTTGAGATAACAGTACTGTTTAATTACTTCATGTTTATTCCTACACTGTGTCATGCCAAAATTCTTTTTTTTAATTTAATTTTTTTTTATACAGGAGGTTCTTATCTATTTTATACATATTAGTTTATATATGTCAATCCCAATCTCCCAATTCATCCCACCACCACCACCACCACCCCCTGCTTTCCCCCCTTGGTGTCCATACATTTGTTCTCTACATCTGTGTCACTATCTCTGCCTTGCAAGCTGGTTCATCTGTACTGTTTTTCTAGATTCCACATATATGTGTTAATATACGATATTTGTTTGTCTCTTTCTGACTTACTTCACTGTGTATGAGTCTCTAGGTCCATCCACATCTCTACAAATGACCCAGTTTCGTTCCTTTTTATAGCTGAGTAATATTCCATTGTATATATGTACCACGTCTTCTTTACAAAATTCTTGTTTAATTCCTTCAGTTTTGAGTGTGCCCTTGCTGTATTCACTATTCTAAGATACAGACTGTTGGATGGGAAGTTCCTGAGAGATCTCCCTCCTACCCCTCCTTGTTACTCAAATGTGACCACAATAGGTTTCCAATCTGTGCACTTTCCCTCTGACATGGGACAGGACACCCAGAAAAGATCATTCCTGGCATCACGGGACAAAAGGCCACTGAATGCTGATTTAAAAAACAGACAAAAAACCCTGACTCTTGATCAGTGATGCTTTTGGAGAAAGAGCTTGATCAAAAGGGGGAAATGTGAAAATTAATGAAGCGAAACCTCACTAAAATGGAGTCGGGAGGCCAGAAGCGGGGAGTACTTGACAGTCAATACAGGAAGAATCAATACAGATCTCTGGCAGGAAGTAACACTACTAGTGCCAGCAGGAGGAAGAAAGATTTTCTCTTTTCCTGGCAACAGCTTAGCTAATGGTAGACTGTCACAACTCAGCCATTGAAAAGTCACTATATTTGGAACTCCCAGTTTCCTCCAGCAGACTTTTTGTTTATAACAGTCCCTCCCAACTTCCCCATCTCTTCTATAAAAGAATTCCCTCTGCTTTGCTTAACAGGACTTACAAGTGGTTCACTAGTTGCACGTCCCAAATTTCAATTCTTTGCTGCTCCCAAATAAATCTGTTCTGCTGGTAAAATATCTGGCTGTTTTATTGTTTTAAGTTAACAACTGCTTCTTTGGCCAAGTCGCAATGAAAAATGAAGTCTCCCCAGTGTCCCTACATGTCCCAGGAGAATATTCCCTTCCCCACCCATAAGCAGATAAGGCCTATCTGCTCCAGCCATCTTGAGTGACAGTGGCTACAGGCCCACTCCCACCCACCTGAGGGAATCCCCTTAGACAGCTGGATAACCAGGATCCCCCCCCAGGCAAGATTCAGGCCAAGGTGGTGGTACTGTAATTTTCCCAAAACCCTGTGCAATTCAGATGTAGGAGGGAGGAATGTGTTCTTGGGGGCGGGTACCTCTGCAACTACTGGAGAGTTGTTTTGCTCTGAGGCTAGGAGTGCGGTTAATGATGCTGTGGAGCACTTCTCAACCAGCCCTGTGCTAAATGCTTTACTTGTACTAACTCAGTCCTCCCAGCCCTTCTGAGGTCGGGACAGTTACCACCTTTTTTGGGGGGAACTACCTTCCCAGTGAGTCACTCCAGGCCAGGATTCAAACCCAAGCAATCTTGCTTCTTCACCTTCAACGTGCTTTTCCGTTTCTGGGCATTTCAGAGTGGCCTGATGCCCAACGCAGAACTGTGTGGGGAGCCTCCTCATTGGGATGTTTTATCACAGCTAAAGTGGGCAATTTGGGGAGAGAAAGTTTGTTTCTCAGCCCATCACTTAAATTGTGAGCTAGTCTGTGGATGTAATAAAGATTTTACGTTCTTTTTTTTTTTATATGTATATTCTTTCCCTCACACTTTTTAAAATTATTATATTTTTATTTTTGGCTGCATTGGGTCTTTGTTGCTGTGTGTGGACTTTCTCTAGTTGCAGCGAGCGGGGGCTACTTTTCCTTGTGGTGTGTGGGCTTCTCATTGCAGTGGCTTCTCTTGTTGTGGAGATTGGGCTCTAGGCGTGCAGGCTTCAGTAGTTGTGGCGCACGGGCTTAGTTGCCCCATGGCATGTGGGATCTTCCAGGACCAGGGATCAAACCCATGTCCCCTGCATTGTCAGGCGGATTCTTAACCACTGTGCCACCGGGGAGTCCCAAGATTTTATGTTCTAACGGTGAATTCATAGTATTAAAATAACATCACTGAAAACCTTTGCAGAGCTTACAGACAACAGCATGGCCTTGGCAAAATCTTACAGTTCTCCAGGCCCACCAACTGAAATTAAGCAATTAATTTTTTAATGGGGGGTGGGGTCTCTTAAAAAATGAGTCCCTGAAGACTTTATCAATATTTTTATTGCACTCTTTCAAATGTGCATAACGTGTGGCCACTCTTTATTTTGAGGGTCTACCATGTACTGGAAAGGGGCTCCAGTGTTCCCTGGCCCAGGTCCCTGGGGATCTAAGGGGTCCACCTCCTTGGTCAGAGCTCATGACCACTGTTGCTCCCCACAGGCCTGTGCATGCTTCTCACCCCACCACGGCCATGGCCCTGGTCAGCATCAACCAGCTGCCCGAGAGCATCCTGCTGGAGGTGTTCATGCACCTGCCCGCTCGCCAGCTGCTGCTGAACTGCCGCCCTGTCTGCAGCCTCTGGCGCGACCTCATCGACCTTGTGACCCTCTGGAAGCGCAAATGCCTGCATGAGGGCTACGTCACTGAGGACTGGGACCAGTCCGTGGCTGACTGGAAGGTCTTCTACTTTCTGTGCAGCCTCCGCAGGAACCTCCTGCGCAACCCGTGTGCCGAAGGTGGGCCGGGGCCTGCTGCTGGGCTGGTTCGGTCCCTTTCCTGAACCTCAGGGCCTTTGTACTTGCTGTTCCCACACTACCTGGAATGTTCTCTCATCACCACCACTCCCCCCAACACCTGTCATGCTCCCTTGGTCCCTCTCCTCGTTCTTCAGGTCTCAGTTCAGAGATGTGCCCTGATCCCCCGTCTGCAAACAGTGCTCCCCACGTCTGTCACATCGTCCCATTTCCTTCCTTCATAGCACTGGTCATAACCTATAATAACGGAATCTTTTTTTTTTTTTTTCTCTGCCACAAATTTCAAGTTCCTGGGGCCTGACAGATCTTGCCGCTCTGCACCCTGTGTCCACATAGCATGTGCTCAGGAAACGTTTGTTGAATGAATAAGCACACTGCAGACCCCCTCCCCTTTAGTTCAGTCTGTGCTGTCTAATGTTGAGGGAGGGCTTCCTGTGTGCCAGGCACTAGTCTGAGGTCTTAGAAATGTCATCGTCCTCCCGTCACCCCATGATACGAGGAAGGAAATGAACTTCAGAGGCAACTACGATCACATGGTTTGAGGCTCCTGTTTGGCTTATGTTCTCATATATTTGCCAGGCTTTTTTTTTTCTTCATTTAGCATCTTCCTGTAGTACCAGGCATCATGCTTCCTGTTTAGGTATCGCAGCAGTTGATGAAGAGGCATAGTTTGTACACTTAGAATCCCTTCCTCTCTTTATCCTCATGAAGATCCCGAGAGTTAGCCAGATAAGAAGGGTTTGGCTCCATTTTATAGATGGGGAGCGTGAGGCCCCTCAGATGAGTGTCTTGCTCAAAGATCTAGAACTGCCCAGCTTCTGGGGTCCAGTCCTGACTGCTGAAGGCCCTTAGCCCCCTCTTCGAGGCCCCATAGACAGCCCAGACACTCAGTCTCCTGGCCTGCCCCAAATCCTGCTCAGAAGCTGCCCAGCCGGGCCGGGCCACCAGCGCAGCTCACACAGCCCTGCAGAGCTGGCCACCCAGCCTTGCGCAGCTCTCCCCCTGCGCCTGCCCTGGGCACTGGCCCGCTCTGGATTTCTGAATTCCTCTTCTGGTTCTCTGCTGGGGGGGCTCCCGGGGCACCTGGGGAATAGATTTGGGCTTCTAGGAGAGGGAGCAAAGGAATAATTTGGAAAAGCTCTCCTGGTGATTGTTCTGGAAAGCCTGGGTAGAGAAGCACTGTTTCCTGAGGTCCTCTCAGCTCAGTCTGAAGGGGGAGATGGGAGGGACAGCCTTACGCCTACAGACCTGCCAAGGCAACCTGGTGGGGACCCTTCCACCAATACGGGGTTACTACACACCACCAACCCAGAGGATGCCCAGCCCCCCAGTCCTCCCTCCTGCCCTGGGCAGAGGGGGTCCGAGTGGGCACAGCAGGTTCCCACGACCTACCAGCAAAGCCCCCCAGATCCCAGTATGTAGTTAACCTCCTGGACGTCGATGTCAGGGGAATGCCAGTCGTCTAGTAAGTGGTCTGAGTTGGGACAAACTCACATTAGCCATTAAGAACAGAATTACCGGGCTTCCCTGGTGGCTCAGTGGTTGAGAGTCCGCCTGCCGATGCAGGGGACACGGGTTCATGCCCCGGTCTGGGAAGATCCCATATGCCACGGAGCAGCTGGGCCCGTGAGCCATGGCCGCTGAGCCCACGCGTCCGGAGCCTGTGCTCCGCAACGGGAGAGGCCACGACAGTGAGAGGCCCGCGTACCACCAAAAAAAAAAACAAAAAAAAAAAAACAGAATTCCCCACATAGGCCCTTCATAATTTAATGGTTCGAGAACTGAAACTTGGGTATTTCCAGAGCCCCTGGGCAACGTGGAAGTGAGGAAAGGTTCATTTAGAATTTCTGGTCATACTCTTTTCTTTTTTTCCAGCTTCACGTTAAGTGTTGACCTGCTCAGGGACAAAGTGGGAGGCAGAGGGCCCAGATCAGAATTGATGTGGTGGGCACAGGCGGGAACGCAGGGAGGGGGGCTTTGTAGGGCGGCTCCAAGGTGCTGTGGGGTGCATGCCTTGAGACCTGAGCCTTACCTGCTCCCTCCCAGGACCAGGTGGAGAGGGCCAGGCTGAACATTCACCCAGAGGGTCTTACTGCAGCTTCTGTTTTTCCTAGAGGATATGAGATCCTGGAAAATCGACTCCAACGGAGGGGACCAGTGGAAGGTGGAGAGCCTCCCCGGGGCGCATGGCACAGACTTCCCTGACCCCAAAGTCAAGAAGTACTTTGCCACGTCCTATGAGTAAGATGAACTGAATTGAGAAGCTGTGTGGAGGGAAAAGGGTCCGGACAGCCTTTTGCCAAATCCCAGGCCTAAGTGAGGGCCTGTGTGTGAAGCTCCAGAAAAGGGGTTCCAAAGCCAGCTCAGCATCTACCTCTTCCTGGGGCAGGAGGCAACTGGGTTGAGGCAAGTGGGGAGGCGAGCAGTTTGAGGAGGCTGGGAGCCCGTTAGGTGATTGGGGTAAGTCAGGGATGGTACAGGTTGTCCCCAGTCTAGGGGCCTGAGTTCACGGAAGCGCCCTCCTTGGGTGCCCGGGACACTGGGCCTAAGGACTGGGATGATCGCCACCCAGGCACCAGTGGGTCAAACTCCCTGCACGTTCCCCGCGGGCCTGCACGGAGGCAGGAGCCAGAGTCCTGTCCTGCAGCCCCTGCACCAGCTCCCTGGGTCCGGGCCATGCCTGGGGACGCACGCCTCGCCTCTGCTCCGCAGGATGTGTCTCAAGTCGCAGCTGATAGACCTCAAAGCCGAGGGCTACTGGGAGGAGCTACTGGACAAGTTCCGGCCGGACATCGTGGTTAAGGACTGGTGAGTGGGGCCCGCGCCCGAGTCCCACACTCTGCATCCCTCCCTCTGCTCTTCCTGAGAACCCCTCTCGGGAGTGCCCACTGAGCCCGGTGGAGTCCTGGGGCGAGGGCTGCCCCCCTCCCTACTGGCAGGCCCAGCACTTATTCAGCACTGCCCCCCGCCCCAACCCTGCATCAGCAGATGTTAGCCCCAGTTTACAGATGGGGAGACTGAGGCCTACAGATGAGTTGTCACTAACAGGCCCTGGAGCAAGAGACACTAGGACCCAGCCTCTCTGGACCTCGCAGATACTCACATGCCTGTCTGCCTCCCCTACCCCTTTCACTGCTCATCCCACGACTCTATCCCAAGCTCCTACTCTGTGCCCAGAACTTTGTCTGGCCTGGCCCAGGGCAGAAGCAGGACCCTAATGCCAGCCAGGCCCCAGGGCCACTACTCTGAGGGTGGGGGGTTGGGGCTTGAGAGGTGTGCAGGGCTGCAGTAGGGCTGACCAGAGGGGGAGCTCTGTGCAGCCCCCATCACACAGGCCACCCCTCCCGAACCTCCATTGTAATGTACCGGCGGCGACACAGATCCTACAGCCCAGGACTTTATTTCTGTAGAGAGCCTTTTGCTTTTTACGGTGACATCTTCACTGGAACACCCAGGAGGGTTGCCTCTTTGCTCAGATGGGATTATTGAGGCCCAGCGCAGACAGACTGCTTACCCCAGGGGCACAGTGGGGCACAGGGAGCCCTGGAGCCGGCTGGGCCTCATGGGCAGAGCAGGGAAATGAGACTCGGGGCTCCGATTTGTGGGCCTGCTGCCTGCCCGCCTCCAGAGATGGTGGCCTCCAGGGCCACCTCTGTACTAGGGTGCACAGTCCCAAGCCCTGCCCTCCCCCAGGTTCGCCGCCAGAGCGGACTGTGGCTGCACCTACCACATCCGAGTACAGCTGGCCTCGGCCGACTACATCGTCCTGGCCTCCTTCGAACCCCCGCCCGTGACCGTCCATCAGTGGAACGATGCCGGGTGGACAGAGGTGAGGCCTCACCTGCTTGCCCCTCGCCATCCACTTCTCCCAAGGCCAGGGTGGCAGGAAATCTGGGGCAGCCCCAGGGCCCAGAATGCACCAGTCCTCTGTCTGGAGTTCCTGCCTTCTGGCTGGGGGGCTCTCCCCTGCAGGACCTGACTCCTGCCGTCCCCTCTCCAGCTCAGTGGTCATCCTGTCTCATCCCCTCTTCAGTCCTGGTGGTCACTTCCTTTCCCCTCCTCCCCCCAGGTCTCCCACACCTTCTCGGATTACCCTCCAGGTGTCCGCCACATCCTCTTCCAGCACGGGGGCAAGGACACCCAGTTCTGGGCAGGCTGGTACGGTCCCCGCGTCACCAACAGCAGCATCGTCATCAGCCACAGGGTGACCAGGAGCCCGGCCCCCTCCGTGGCTCCGCGCTAGACCATGCAGGGGCCAGAGGAGGTGGCCCACCTGCCCTCCCCCCTCCCCCTCCACAGGCCCTCCTGACAGCCTGTCCTCTGACAGCCATTCGTCCGTCCTCCGTCTGGGCCAGCTGATTGCCAAAGGTCCCCTCCAGGCAAGGCAGCGAGGCCCTCTGCCCCAGTTCCCACCTGGGGCAAACCCACCAGTCTGTGAACTTAATTGTCACGTAGCTCTGACATTTTGTTGTAATAAATGTTTTCAGTAAAACCAGCCTGGGGTCAGGTGTAGGGGTCGGGGTACAAGGTCCTCGGCACTTTGGTGGAGAAGCAGCCTCCCTCCCCTCCAGGGAGTGACAGCCCAGCTCAGCCCTGGGGGCTCTTTATTGAAACAACTCACAGCACAGTATTTGAGGCAGCGCTGGCCAGCGGAATCCCAGGAGGCTGAGAAATTGAGGTCCCAGCACCTGTCCCTGCCCTCCTGGGGAGGATTCCTCCATGAAGGCAACCAAGCCTGAGCAGCCCCAGGCTGGAGGGTGGGTGGTCCATACGTAGAGGCAATAAGAGCACTTGGAATCAGAGTGACCCTGCAGCACTGCCCTAGGCTGGGCCCCCAAAGTGCGACAGCTGTGGCATCCACGGTGGGCAGGCACACCCTCAGCTGCTTTTATGAGCTCGCTCTTCCACGTAGAGCTGCATCTAATGGACAGGAACGAACGCCGTGGTCAGGTGGACAGCCAGGGCAGCTACTCTGGAGAACCCACGGGGTCTCCGACAAGGGTGGGCTATGTGGCCCCAGCCAGGGTTTAAGGGAAAGAGGGAGTTGGGAGCCTAAAGCCAGGCATGCCCTGGTCATCTCCTCCGAGCCTTGATCCAAAAGCCGCCTGACAAGGCCTCAGCACACCCTAAATAAAGCACACTCGGGCCCAAGCAGCTTACCTTTAAGATGTCTGATGTCATGGTTTTCAGGGGTATCAGTCGGGGGTCGTGCATGTGGACGTCCTGCTCATCTGCCAGGATCCAGGGGAAGTCCTAGGGAGGGGACAAGGGAAGGGTGGCAGGGGGCTGGTCCATGGCCCGCCCTCACTTCGCTGCCCTCTCCCCTTCCGGAGCTGGCATCCTCAGACTCCGGGGAGCATCAGAGTCACCAGGGAATCGCTGGGCGTGCAGATTCCTAGGTTCCCCCACCGGAGAGAGGCTGAGTCCGTAGATCTGAGCTGGGCTGGGAGCCCCAGTGATTTAACAAGCCCCAAACACCAGTTCTGAAACTGGATCAAGGATCCCCTCCCTTGAGAACCCCCAATGAGCTGGTGGCTCTCCCTGCTCTCAGCGCCAAGTGCCCAGGTGGGGCGATGACAAGCGGGTGGCCGCAGAGCCAGCACACAGTGAGAGCCTACCGATGCCAGGCGCTGCCGTAAGAAGTGTAATGAATGCCCTGCCATAGGCACTGCCCTCGCTGTCGTGGAACTCTGGTTTTCGGAGCCTCCCAGCGGTCTCCCTGCCCACCCTCCCACACCAGTCTCATCTCACCTTGATGACCTGGATCTTCTCCATGTTGCGAGTGGCGGCTTCTCTCGTGTGCACTAATAATGTGAAGGTGCAGCCTAAAGAGGCCAGAGTTCGGTCAAGCCTGGGCCACCCATGCCTGCCGCGCGGCACAGCCTCTTCCCCCCTCCCTAGCTGGCTCAGCAGCCCCGCAAAGCAGAGTGTAAACCCAGTGTTCAGACAAGTCACAGTCAACAGGGAGACTAAAGCCCAGGTGGAGTCACCAGGGAAGCTTCCTGGAGGAGGTGGGCTTTCAGAAGAGTTCGAAAAGGCAGGAAGGAAGAGAGGGAGCTTGGCGCAGCCGAGTAGGGATCTGAGGACACAGACCAACACAGGTAGCCATGGAAATGCCCAGGGAAGAGGGGGTGGGAGTAAGCCCACCTGGGGGGTTGTGGTCCAGGACAGCATCACATACACTGATCTTCAGGATGAAGGCTCGGAGCAGCTGCTCCACGTGAGACAGCAGGGAGTCTGAGCTGGGAAGCAGAGAAGAGGAGGGTCTCCCAGCACATGGGTGTCCCCCTCCCACCAGCAGGCAAGCAACTCTGGGAGCAGCCCTGGCGGTGCAGAGTCCCCCTAGTGCTTCCGAGTGTATTGACTTCTGAGGCCCTGGCTACCTGTCTCTACACAGTCGACATCATCTGGGGAGTTTAAAACCAAAGCCGAGTCCCAACCCAGGCTAATTAAGTCAGAATGCGGCGGGGGGGAAGGGGCACAGGGAACCCCAGTAGGTGGTTCTAATATGCAGCCCAGTCTGAGAACCGGACACAAAGCCGGGAAGGGACAGGGTTTGCCCGAGGCCACATAGCAAGTGGGGACAGATTCTAGTGCCCTGACCTCACCACACGAAGCTGGCAGCTGACCAGCCCAACACGCCCATCCAAGGTCAACTTCTAGTTGACTAGGGACTGGATGGATGCTTGACTGGGAAGTCAGGAAACTGGGTCTGTGTCCTGGCTCTGGGTGACCAGGTCAAGATCATCTCTCGGGACCCTGGTTTCTCCATCTATAAAATGAGGTTGGGACTAGCCATTCACCAACGTTGTGATTTTCCAGGTGTGATACTGGAGGGTCTCCGTGTAACCTGTGTGATGTCCACAGAGACCACTGGGCGGCCGGCTGTGACTCAGACACTAACAGGCCTCGTTAGGTCAGCACACCTTGCCATGTCTCCTCTCAGGCCTTTAGCAAGGCATTCAGGGGCTGCCTTAAAGGGGTGAGGGTGGCCGTGTTACTAGGGACCTCACACCAGTGAGCACGTGGATGGGGGACGAGGCAGCGTACCTGATGGACAGCAGCGGAGGCTGCGTGATTTCGAAGACGAATTTCTCCACTGGGCGGTGCTCCTTGTCCAAGATGACTACCACCACTTTCTCCACATCGTTCTGCAAGGACAGGAAGCCCCGATTCCAGAACTGGACACCCGCCTCCCCATTACCCCACCCCCCAGCCCCTGCCCCCTGCTCCCTGCCCAGGGAAGAATGGGAAAGGTGCACTCACGGCCCTGCTCAGCTTCTAGGCCCAGAGTCCCTGAGAGCCCAGAAAGAGGTTTGAGAAGTTGAAGTAGGCGCCCCCAGACATGAGTGGTACCCGCGGAGAGGAGAGGATGCCTGGGCCCTGCAGGGGTCCCAGCGTGTCCCAGGGAGCAGAATAAGGTAGAATAAGGAAGCCCTGAGGGGCCAAGCTCAGACAGAGCTTGGGGGCGGAGGGGGAGAAAAGAACAGGTGAGAAGGACCCAAAACCCTCTGGGCAGGCCCCAGTCAGCCAACTCCACTAACCAGGGCTCCCGGGCCCAGCACGCCCTGAACGTGCCCACATGTCCTGGGGCCTGTCCCTGGGCAGGGGTGGTCTCCAGAGTGCGGGGCACAGGCTTCTGGGTGTTAAGTTATGGGGACCCGGTATGGTCCCAGCATCACCCCATCCTGGAGCATGGAGGAGCACTGGGGGTGGGGTGGGCTAGGGGCCTGGTGCCCTCACCTTCTCCAGCAGCGGCTTGACGCAGTGCAACGTGTCCTGGATGTACTGGTTCAGCTCCGGGTGACAGGACATCTGCACACAACCCCATGATGGCTGGTGAGGCTGCAGCACTGATGGGGGAGCCATTGGAGACCCCCTCCAGCAGCCCAAGGGCCTGTCTGCCTTCGGAGAGAGGCGCAGCAGTTCCCTAGGGCTCCCCACCCAAGAGACAGACTTCCCATCACGAGGCTAAGAACTGAATTATCCACAGAGGGAGAGAAGTTAGAAGATCCTAAGAATTCAGTCTCAACATTAGCATTTGATATAGCATTAGGAGTTCCTAACGCGGGGTCACTGAGCTCCTCCAGAGTCTGAGAAGTCTTTAAATCGTGAGTGTTTGAGCATACAGGCATTTTTGCAGAGACGGGATCCAGAAATTTAATCCATTTTCGAACATTAAGAATCTGGAACAGACTTCCCTTGGTGCGCAGTGGTTAAGAATCTGCCTGCCAATGCAGGGGAGAGCCCTGGTCTGGGAAGATCCCACATGCTGCGGAGCAACTAAGCCCGTGCGCCACAACTATTGAGCCTGCGCTCTAGAGCCCGCGAGCCACAACTACTGAAGCCCGCGTGCCTTCAGAGCCGGTGCTCCGCAACAAGGGAAGCCACCGCAATGAGAAGCCCGCGCACCGCAACTAAGAGCAGCCCCCGCTCACCGCCAACTAGAGAAAGCCCGCGCGCAGCAGCGAAGACCCAATGCAGCCATAAATAAATAAATAGATAAATAAATAAAAATATATTAAAAAAAAGAATCTGGAACTAAGGAGTTGTGTGGCCTCAGGCTTAACTTCTCTGTGCTTTAGTTACTTCATCTGTGGAAGATCTCATTTAAAAAAGTGAGGATTAAGTGAGATAAGTACCTAGTACACGGTGGGTGCTCAGTAAGTGCTGATTCTTTTTTTCCTTTTCCTTGTATATCTTTTTGTTTGTTTGTTTTTTGGGTTTTTTCCCCCCCTATATATCCTTTTAAGCTTCCACCACCTTCCAGTATTCGGTCATTTATTCTAATATTTACTAAGTGCTTTCTAAGGGACAGGCACTTCTTGAGGCTGGGGATAGAGTAGCATATATTTACTGCTTTGTCTGCCTTTTAACCTAAAGCAACCCGTACAATTAGGGTAAATGAGGGGAGAGGGAAGGTGCCTGAGGTTTATAGGAATCCCCTCCCCAAACCAACCATTCACCAGCTTCAGGAGACCTTTAAAATACAAAGATGGGGGCCGGGGGGCTCTAATCGGAGGGCCCGGTCCCTAACTTCTAGCAAGGGGAACTCCCAGTTCAGAGGGGACAGAAGCAAACGCCACTGCGGTGAGGGGTGGGAGGTTGTCGGGCTATCGGCAGCTGCCGGGAACTAGAAGGCAAGGCCCGGCCGCTGGGGACTGAGAGGGCCGAGCCTGAAGAAGGAAGAAAGTTAAAAATGTCCTCTCTACCCACTCTGTGATACGGGGGTGACCCAGTGCACCCAGTCTGGATGTGGGGCTCACCTGGACAGGCACGTTGTACTTCTTACGCTTCTGGAAGATGCCCACGGGGTAAACCTCACGCACGTAGAGGATCAGGTGCACCGCCACCTCCAGGAACTCGCAGAGCACGTCGGCCACCACTGCGAGCGGGCAGAACCCGGTGCGCTCGGGGAAGTCCGCCAGCCCAGGACCTCCCTCGCCCCCCTCCAGGGTGCGCAGGTCCAGCCTCTCTACCTTGACCAAAGTT